TAGTGAACCGAAAAAATACCCTTAGAATCAGTCCAATTGGTACCCTTAAGGTACCGCACAGATACCCTTAGTTTTTTTTTAGTTTTTTTTTTAAAAAAAATTTACTAATTTTTCACTGTTAGCCAACGGTTGATTTAAAAAAAAATAAAAACGACCTAAGGAACATTAATCATCGCCTCGTCATGACAGTTCCTCGTTTTTTGGCGTTTTAGGGACATAAAACAGGAATTCCACCCGTTTACTGGATTTTCATGTGTCATAGCCCCCGCCATCTGCATTGATCCAGGCGATCGGACCCCAATCGCCTAAAATTTTGTCGTCCTATCAAAAACAACCTAGGGAACATTAGTCATCGCCTCGCCATGACCGTTTCTCATTTTTTCTACGTTTTAGAGCTATAAAACTGGAATTCCGTTCGATTCTTAGATTTTTATGTGCTATAGCTCATGCCATCTGCATGGGTCTCGGCGATCGAACCCGAATCGCCTAATATTTTGTCGTCCCATAAAAAATGACCTAGGGAACATTAGTCATCACCTCGCCATGACGTTCGTCCTTTTTGGCGTTTTGGAGCCGTAAAACTGAAATTTCACCCGATTCCAAGATTTTCGTATGGTATAACCCACGCCATCTACATGAATCTAGGTGTCCGGACCCGAATCGTCTAAAATTTTGCTGGCTTATCAAAAATTACCTAAGGAACATTATCCATCGCCTCGCCATGACCGTTCCTCGTTTTTGGTATTTTAGGGCCATAAAACTAGAATTCCGTCTAATTCCCAGATTTTCGTGTGCTTTATCCCTAGCCATCTGAATGGGTCTGTCGCCCGGACCCGAGTTGCTTCAAATTTTATGGGCCCATTAGAAACGAACAAATAAACACTAGTCATTGCTACGCCATGATAATTTTTGTTTTTAGCATATTAGGACCATAAAATAAGAATTTAAGACGATTTTCGATTTTTCGTGTGCTAATTTTTACACTATCTTCATGAATTCGGGTGACGGGCTCCAAATCGCCTAAGTTTTATGGATCATCAAAAACGACCTAATGAACTATAGTCATTGCTTTGCCTTGATCGTTCCTAGATTTTTAGCATTTTAATCACAATTTTTTTGAATTAAGACGTAATTGTTATTTGTTAAAACTATATAAAATTGTATCAAATAATTTGAGATTGTCCAAAATAGAAAGAGACATATTATTATTTGTGAGAGGATGATTTGCATGCATATGAAAGACTTTAACGTAGCTCCAGCATGAACTAGGTGAATTCCAAGTGTCAAAGTACTTCTGAAAAAGTGCAATTTTGCTCCTCTACTTTGACGATTGTTTAAAATACTTCAAATAGGAAAATATGAGACGATTTGCTAACGGCAAGGGTATCATGGACATATAGTATAACGGAGTGTAAATTAAAAAATTTCACCCTTCCCCCTTTTTTCTTTCTTTTACTATTGTTGGCGTAACTGGTAAGATTGTTGTCATATGACCAGGAGGTCACGGCTTCAAACCGTGGAAACAGCCTCTTGCATAAATGCAGGGTAAGACTGCGTATAATAGACCCTTGTGGTCCGGCCCTTCCTCGGACCCTGCGCATAGCGGGAGCTTAGTGTACCGGGCTGCCCCTTTTTACTACTGTTGGCTGGTTTCTAGTTTATTTTAAGAATTTGTGTGTTTTTTGTACAACAGGAACTATGTTGTGCAACATGTTCTTGAACTAAGAGATGAAGAGATTTCAAGTAAGGTATTCAGCCAACTTGAGAAGCAGTATTTAACACTAGCCTACAAAAAGGGTGGTAGCCATGTTGTTGAGAAATGCATTGAATCATCAAATATTGGAATGATTTCAGTGGTTAATGTTCTTCTAGCTGATGAAAAATCACTAGTTCAACTAGCCAAAGATCCCTTTGGAAATTATGTAATTCAGAAAGCATTAAAATCAACAAAAGTAAGTAATCCTTATTGTCATTTTAGCTATATAGCCACACAACATAAATCAATATCAGTAATAGCACATCAAAACATGGTTGTAATAACTGATTTAAGAACTGTGTCTGTTTCTGATTGCAGGAAAATGGAGAGGAAACGCGACATCAAGCTCTCGTTAGAGTCCTCATGCGACATGCCTCGTTTCTTTTACACAGCAAACCTGGAAAACATGTGATCTTGAGTATCAAAAGTCTAAATCCAGATTATCAGACAGTCTTGAATTCATTATCAAGCTAATGTTAAGGAGGACAATCTTGTTCCTATGTTTCTTGTTTATGTTTATGTTACTTCTGTGTAATCTGTGTCTTTTCTTTGTACACAAGGGGTGAATTGGAGATGATGCAAATCAGTGTCTAAAATTGTAGTTAGTTGTTAGCAACTAGGATTTGTTTGAGATTTGTAATCTGGCATTTTGGTAGAAATATTTTGTAAGAGCTTTTGTGTGTTTACAAATGCATTGTTATCTATATTCTTGTCCATTAATCTGAAACTTCTCTTTTATGTTCTTTTTTTATTTTATTTTTTTTTTTGGGGGGAGATCGGAAGAG